CATATATTTAATATGTTCTTACTGATTTTAAAGAGAGAAGGGAAAGGGAGAGAGAGAAACAGTGATCAGCTGCCTCCCTCACGTACCGACAGGATTTGGAACCGGAAACTGGGGCATGTGCCCTGACTGGGAATCGAACCAGCAACCCTTCAGTGCATGGGATGACATTCAACCAACTGAGCCACACCAGCCAGGGCTGTATTAAGTATATTTTAATCATTCCATTTTATCTCCCAGCTGGCTTATTAGCTATAAGTCTGTCTTTTCTTTTTTTTTTTCTAGGATATTTTTCTCTTTATTTCCAATTCTTACACTTTCTTACATCTATTCTGTTTTCTCTTGTTTACTTTTATTCAAGTAAGTCTGTGCCAAAGTTTAGAAATGGTGGCTTTAGTTTTAAAGTTTTGTTTACTTCCTTTGGCTGTAAATCTATCAGGAGGTTAAATCGAACTAAAATAATTTATTAAACATATAGAATAATCTCCCAACTTATTATACATCTATATTTTAGCAGAAATCTGTGTCCTAATATCATAGTCAGCTATTGAATTCAAGTGATAAAATTTAATATCTCAGTGTGCCTATAAATCATTATATATATTTATAATCAGACTGGATAAATTTCTTAGTGCAGCTATAACATGTCCACAAATTTATTATTTGATACAACACAAACTTTCTTACAATTTTGGAGTTTGAAATTGTTCTTCTAGAGACTCTAAGAATCTGTTTTCATATCAATTTTAGTTCTAGGAGCCACCTGCATTTCTTTTTTTTTTTTTCCTAATTGATCCCCTCCACCCTGCATCCACCCCACCCCCAGGCCTTCCCCATACCAATGTCTGTGTCCATGGGTTATGCTTATAAACATATAAGTTCTTTGATTAATCTCTCCCTAGCCATTTCCCCATACCCACCTTCCCTCTGAGATCCCTCAGCCTGTTCCATGCTTCCATGTCTCTGGATCTATTTTGTTCATCAGTTTATTTTGTTTATTACATTCCACATATAAGTGAGATCATGTGGTACTTGTCTTTGTCTGACTGGCTTATTTCACTTAGCATAGTACTCTCCAGTTCCCTCCATGCTGTATTTTATTTTTTGATGCAATTGTAAATGGGATTGTTTTTTTGATTTTTCTTTCCAATAGCTTGTTATTGATGTTTAAAAATGCAAATTTCTAATATTAATATTAATTTTTGTATCCTGCTACTATACTGAGTTCATTTTTTAACTCAAATAGTGTTTTGATGGAAAATTAGGGTTTGTTCTATATAGTATCATGTCATGTGCAAATAATGACACTTTTACCTCATTCTTTTCAATTTGGATGCCCTTTCTTTCTTTTTCTTCTCTGATTGCTGTGGTGAGGACTTCCAGTACTATGTTGAATAAAAGTGGTGAAAGTGGACATCATGTCTTGTTCCTGATGTTAAGGGAAACCCTTTTAGTTTTTCACCATTGAGTATGATGTTAGCTGTGGGTTTGTCATATATGACCTTTATTATATTGAAGTATATTCCCCTCTATTTCAACTTTGCTGAGAGTTTTTATCATAAATTGTTGTTGGACTTTGTCAAATAGTTTTCTTCATTTATTTATATGGTTGTATGAGTTTTATCCTTCATTTTGTTTATGTTGTGTATAACATTAATTGATCTGTGTATATTGAACCAGGAATAAATTCCACTTGATCATGGTGTATGATCTTTTTAATATATTGCTGAATTAAGTTTTCTAATAGATTTTTACATCTGTGTTCATCAGGAAGATTGTCCTATAATTTTTTTTAGATTTTCACGACAATTTTAAATCAAATTTACCAAATTAAAAAGAATTTAGCTCTGTGTTTATAGAGCTAATTCCATGCATTTTCTTTGGATTCACTTTTCCTTTTGTTGAAGTAGCTNTTGTGTCCTTAATTCCATGCATTTTCTTTGGATTCACTTTTCCTTTTGTTGAAGTAGCTACAATAGCAATTTTTTCACTGCGGACCTATGCATGGTGAATTTTCTAAGTCAGAAAATGACATATATTTGTCCTCACCCTTGAGTGAATATAGAAAGTCTTGTTGACAGCCACCTTCCCTGTAACACGGAATATATTATTTCAGTTTCTAGTGGCATCTTCCTGCCAATAAGAAATGTACTTAAAGGCCCAATAATTATACAAGACCAATTATTCTTTTATGTATTTTTATATTATATTTTTATTTTTTAAGTACAGTTGACAATGTTATATTAGTTTCAGGTGTACAGCATAGTGGTTAGACATCTATATAACTTTTGAAGTAAGTTTAGTATTTCCTTGACTCCATACATAGTTATTGCAGTATTATTGACTATATTTCCTATGTTGCACTTTACCTCCCCATGGCAGTTTTGTAACTGCCAATTTGTACTTCTTAATTCCTTCACCTTTTTCACCCAGCCCACATTCCCTTCCCACCTGGCAACCATCAGGTGGTTCTTTGTATATGAGTTTGTTTCTGTTTTGTTTGTTTGCTTTTTAGATTCCACATATAAGTGAAATATATGATATTTGTCTTTCTCTGTCTGACTTATTTCACTTACATAATGTTCTCTAGGTTTACTTATGTAAGATTTCATTTTTTTTAATGTCTAAGTAATATTCCATTGTATATGTATGCCACATCTTCTTTATTCAATTGTCTGTCAATGGACACTTAGATTGCTTCCATATCTTGATTATTGTAAATAATACTGCAGTGAACATAGTGATGCATGTGTGTTTTCAAATTAGTGTTTTGGATTTCTTCAGATAAATACCAAAAGGTGGGAATGGTGGGTCATATGGTTGTTCTATTTTTAATTTTTTGAGGAATATCCATACTGTTTTCCATGTTATTTTCTTTTTTTGTAGTGTCTTTTCTGATTTTGGTATCAGGGAAATACTGATCTTGTAAAATGAGTTTAGGAGTTTTTTTCCTTTAATTTTTTGGAATAATTTGAGAATGATGTCTTTTTTTGAAATATTTGGTAAAACTCACCTGTGATGAAGTCATATGCTCCAGGGATTTTGTTCGTTGGAAGTTTTTTTTATTACTTATTTGATTTCTTTTAGTTTTTGGTTTCTCAGGTTTTCTTTTTCTTCCTGATTCAGTCATGGGAGATTGCATTTTTTTTTTTAGGAATTTATCCATTTTTTTCCAGGTTGTTCAATTTGTTGGCATATATTTGTAGTATTTTCTTATAATTCTTTTTATTTCTGTGGTGTTGGTTATGACTTCTCTTTGTTTTGTGATTTTATTTGGGCCCTCTTTTTTTCTTGATGAGTCTGGCTAAAGCTACATATGTTTTGTTTATATTTTCAAAGAACCAGCTCTTGGTTTCACTTATCTTTTTGTGTTCTTTTGTTTGTTTGTTTGTTTTTACTCTACATTGTTTATTTCTGCCCTGATCTTTATTATTTTTTTTCCTTTTACTCACCTTGGGCTTATTTTTTTCTTCTTTTTCTAGTTTCTTTAGTTGTAAGGTTTGGTTGCTTATTTGAGATTTTTCTTGTTTCTTGAGGAATGCCAGGATCAGACAAATCTTGATTGGAGTCATAGGTCCTCCCCATAAGTGACTTCGGGTACATTGGTTCCATATATGAGAAATGGGGGTAATAACTTTACCTAATTTACCTCAGTGGAGAGAGTAACCATCCCTCATACTTATTAAAAGGATTTATTGTAAGGTGCTTAAAATAATAGCTGGCCCACAGTAACAAATTTTAAATTTTGATCAGCATACTCTAGTTTAAAAAGCTTTTCATTAACATTTTAAAAAGATAAACTTTAGTTATTTGGAATAAATTTATTTTTGTATAACACCTTATCTTTTGATTCATGTATTTATTGGAGTTACTCATTGAGTACCTACTATATGTAATAAATTATTTAGGTGCTGACAACACAGTAGTGAAAAAATAAACTGTTTCTGTCTTTATTCATGAGGTTTCTATTCTGATTGGGTGGGAAAATTAACAAATAGATGAGTAAGTTATTAGAAAGGAAGGGAGGATAGGTGTTGGGTTGGAATAGTTGCAGTTTTACATAAGGTGGTCAGGGTGGGCATTACTGGAAAGGTGACATAAGCAGAGATAAGAAAATTGTGAAGGAGCAAGCAATACAGAAAACTGAAGAGCTTTCCAAGCTTGTGCACAGGTCCTGTGGGGGAAGTGTGCCGTGTGTGCTCCAGAACAGCAGGGGCCAGCGCTGCTAAAGCTGAGTGAGCAGGTGTTCAGGGTGTGGCCAGAAAGGCGTCAAGCGGCCTGCTTTGTGTAGGGCCTTCACAGCCACTGTCAGGACTTGGGCTTTGACTCCAAGTGATAATAGAGGGCATTTGAGGGCTCTGAGCTGAGAAGTGACAAGTTTTGAAAGTCCTGCTCTGGCTACCAGACTGATAAGAGATTGTATAATGGCAAGGGGAAGAAGGTGGAAATAATCCAGGCAGTAATCCAGGCAGAGATCATGAGATTGACCAGAGTGGTAGCAATGGAGGTGGTGAGAAGTAGCCAAATTCTGGAATATTTTGAAGGTAGAGACAGTAGGATTTGCTGATATATGGGGAATGTGATAAAGGATAATGTAAGATTTGGGGCCTGAACATCTGGAATGATGGAAATACTTCAGTAGGTTTCAGAGGGAAGATAGGGGTTTACTTTGGGACATGTTGAATTCCATCATAGAGATATTGAGAAGGCAATTGAATATATGAGTGTGGAATTTAGAAAGAAAACTAGCCTAAAAATGTAAATTTGGTATCTGAAGTCATGAAACCAAATGATCCTATTTGGGAAAGTCTTGGTCCAAATGGACTTTAACAGCTCCAATAATGAAATGTATCTAGTCTGGAACTTCTAATTAGGAAAGAATCCTGGTCATACAGAACATTTTATTTATCCCAAATATTTGAAAAGTATCATACAGATATAAATTTCCTTAAAATGTTTCTTTAGCCCGGTGGTACACATCGTTTGATCACAGTTCTCTTTAGGCAGTGAAGCTGCTGAAGCCAGGGGGAGTGCTTGTTTACAGCACGTGCACCATCACACTGGCGGAAAATGAAGAACAAGTGGCCTGGGCCCTCACAGCATTTCCTTGCCTTCAGCTTCAGCCCCAGGTAAGAAGAATTTCCGTCACAGAAACTTAAGTGCTGGATAAACACAGGCTCTTTTATGAAGAAATATGTTAGGTAAAACTTCTGAGACAAATACTGTCATAAACAAAAATGTTTCTCTCATTAACTCCATTTAGACTGCCCATAGAAAATTCCATATCCTGACAGTTTTTCCTATGTTCATTCCTTGTCATTGTGTTCAAGTGCCACAGAGCTCAGGTATATTTTTAAAATTAAAAAAAAAAATTATTGTTGAAATAAATTTATCTTTATTGTTGAAAGTATTACAGATGTTTTCTTCCCCGCCAACCCCATTGACTTCCTCCTGTCCTCTCCCTAGGCCTTCTCTGAACTGTCCATGGGCTATGCATATATGCCTATAAATTCATTGTTAATCTCTTCCTCCCCCCCCCGAAACACGTCAGTCTGTTGCATGATTCAATGTCTCTGGCTCTTTTGTCATTAGATTCATTGTCTTATTTTGTTGATTAGATTCCACATATAAGTGAGATCATGTGATACTTGTCTTTCTCTGACTGGCTTATTTCACTTAGCATAATACTCTCTAGGTCCCTCTATGCTGTCTCAAAGTGGAAGAGATCCTTTTTTATAGCTGCATAGTATTCCATTGTATAAATGTACCACAGCTTTTGAATCCTTTCATCTACTGATGGGCACTTGGACCGTTTCCAGATCTTAGCTACTGTAAACAGTGCTGCTATGAACATAGGGGTGCATACATTCTTTCTGATTGGTGTTTCTGGCTTCTTAGGATATATTCCTAGAGGTGGGATCACTGGGTCAAATGGCAGTTCCATTTTTAATTTTTTGAGGAAGCTCCATACTGTTTTCCATAGTGGCTGCACCAATCTGCATTCCCACCAGCAGTGTACTAGGGTTCCCCTTTCTCCACACCCTCGCCAGCACTTGTTTGTTGATTTGTTGATGGCAGACATTCTGGCAGGTGTAAGGTGGTACCTCACTGTTCTTTTAATTTTTATCTCTGATAATTAGTGAAGTTGAGCATTTTTTCATATGTCTCTTGGTCATTTGTGTGTCCTCTTTGGAGAAGTGTCTATTCAGGTCCTCTGCCCATTTTTAAATTGAGAAACATTCACCTGGAATTAATTACCAACGGAGGTCCAGCTGAGGAGCAGACTTATATCAGGTTATTTTTGTTAGGTCTTTCTTTCACTTGTGATTGTTTTTCAAGTTGCTCAGAATTTTTTTCCAAGTCCCCCCCTTCCCATTCTATATTTTTCAAATAAGGAAAATTTTCAGTATTTTCTCTGTTACATCAAAGCCCAAATAGGCTTTAAAAAAACTGGGTATCAAAAGACTAATCTAGTCAAGTTGGGGAAATAGTTCAGGATTATTGCTTCTTTACAGTTTCTTATGTAAATTAGGTAGCATTTAAAAAGCTATTTTGTACTTTATTTTTCCTAGCATTATGTTTGTTATGATTTTTATTGAAAACATATTTTTCAGTATTTATGTTCATTAGATTCCACATATGAGTGAGGTCATGTGGTACTTGTCTTTCTCTGACTGGCTTATTTTGCTTGGCATAATACTCTCCAGGTCCCTCCATGCTGTCTCAAAGGTAGATTTTTAGCCCATGATGTTTGAGATTAAGCCTAAATCTGTAATAATGCTTACATGCATTCAGATACATTCAACATGTCACTTTAATACCTTTCTGTATAGAATTCTGACAGATAATTGGAATACCTAAATAAAAAGCAATCTGGAGATGGTTTCTAGATGCAGAAGTTAAGATAATTACATTTAAGGTGAAAGGAAGACTTCAGCAGAATTCACTTGAAATTTTGTGTGTGTCTAAATAAATATATATTCTCTCTCTATATATACACTCAGTATATACCTAATAGAGAGATTTTTTCCCCTCTGTAGGTTAATCAATGATAGGTTTTCAGACATACACCTAAGAAAATATATCTTCAGTAACACATAAACACTTGTCTGTGAAATGGGGACTTAAATTAGGATTATGGATCTTTTGCAGTCACCCAATTCCTTATTAGTATTTGTTCCGCTAAACTGATTGGTGCTGCCTTAATTGATTTCTTTTTTATATTCTAATGCATTTAATAACAATAAAAACTTTTATCATCCAATTGGTATGAGTCAGAGAGAGGCATCTTTAGAGGCCTAAGGGGCTCCTGTTAGTTTGTGGGAGTATCATAAACGAAACTGAACTTTTTTTTACCTGTAGCTGTTATTAATAATAATGTTTAATCTATGTGCCAGCCACTATATGCCACTAAATTCCAGGCATGGTAACACCTTCTTTATTTAAGTCTCAGATCTGAGTGTTTTATAAGATGAAGTAAAGTTACTTGCTTAAGGTCACATAGCTAAAATGTGGCAGGGCTGCGATTTGAAACCATGTATTTTTAACTATGAATCTCGGATCCTTTGTAATGTTCTGGTCTTTGATAAGCTTATGAGCTTTAATAGGTTCTCATTCTTCATGTGACCATATATTACTGCTTTCTCAGTTCACTACGTGGAAAAACAGTACATACAAAAATAAAAAGTATTTACTCATTTTTCTATTTTTGAACTTTAATGACAACTGAATTTGTCTTTTACATTTTGCACAGGCGCACACACTAATTGTAGGATGTTCATGTATATTTTTATTTCCTCCAAACAGGAACCACAGATTGGAGGAGAAGGAATGATGGGAGCTGGCCTGTCATCTGAACAATTGAAACAGCTGCAGCGATTTGATCCATCTGTTGTGCCATTACAGGACATGGACATTGATTCTCTCAGAGAGGCCAGAGTAGAAGACATGATTTGGCTGGCAAATAAAGATTGTATAGGTTTCTTTATTGCAAAATTTGTAAAATGCAAAAGTATACAGAAGGATCCTTAGCAATGGAAATTCCAAACATGTACTCTGTGTGTGTTTTAATTTAAAAACCATCTGTTGTCCAGCCAAGTGACTGATGGTGTAATTGCTAAGGAAACAGAAAAGGCTGCCAGCTGTTTCACCAGGGATTAGAAGACACAGGAAGTAGTTGTGGGTCATGGGGAGGTGGTTTGAGATTAAATTTTGTAATTTTAAAATAATTTTTCCTTTTGGATTTATCAGAGTTCAAAGAAAAGCAGATGCCTGTAGATGTCTGAAACATTTTTATTTGGGGTCATATGTCTTAATTTGTAAAGAATGCAAGTAATTTTTAATGGCAATCAATGAATCTAACAAGGAAAAAAATTAGCGATATTTAATTTGGTTGTAAAAAATATTTTTTATTCCTGAGTTCCTAAGTATGTAGTTCCTTAAGAATTCGGGGCATGAGAAGTATGACATTTGCCATGTGCCATTTACTGAACCAGGTATTTTACTTCTTTTTCTGCTTACTATTTGATAAATAAACCTTTCAAATGAAGTCTGGACCTCTTCTAAATGAGAGTCTGTCTTTACTATTTACTCCCCTCCCCCCCATGATTTTAAACTAAAAAGTGAAATGAATCTTTTCTTCACTTTGTAGATTAAAAAAACGAGAATATTCTGCAATATCAGTACCTTTTATCATCGGTTGGAACACATGCTGTGACAGGTAATGAAGATGTGATTGGTGAGAAAGAGGAAGCCAGCTTCTGAGAACTGGGACCTGGCCCAGCACTTACAGGAAGGCCTGGTGGTCTCCTGTGAACATAATTCCACAGAACACCAACATCAGACAAGGCTGTTATGACTATGACACATCAAGACACAAAAAGACCACTCCAAAATCAAATCTGAATTTAGATAAAAGCAAGAACATATCCAAGCCACAAAAGTGACCAAACATCCCCCTATAGTGGCCAATGTGACTACTTTAAAAAAAATCAATTATAAACTTACTCCTGCTTCATCCTACCTGCCTTTTAGATAACATATATAAACACCCAGCCCTAGTTTAAAGGCTCTCATATGTAGAGTTATATACATCAATTTTTGTTAACTCTTATCAAATCATCCCTAAATTCCTGAGCCTTGGGCATATAAGTGGACAATTGGAAACAAATGCCTAATAGTTTCTTTTCCCCCACATAGGTTTCTGTAAGGAATGTCTCATAATTATTCATCGAGACTGCAAGGCCTCCTGGATAAGGTAAGACCTTTTGTTGGCCTCATCTTTGATGAAGCCTTTCTTGAACACCCTTCCCTGAGTTTGGGGTAGGCATTTGTCTTTCTGTACCCCTAGGGGCCCATATCTACTGCTGTTGTGGCCCTTTGAAAGTACTCTGGTTTTCTGGGCATGTTCCTAACTACTACCCTCAGACTTGGGAAGATCCTGGAGGCAGGGACCCTGTGTTTTCTGTCACTGCTCCAGAGCAGATTGCCAATAGATGCTTATTGAATGCGGGGAAAAATATTTCAAGCTCCATAAGATTCAGATATGTGACTGACTTCTTTACATTCCTCATTCTGCCTTGTATCCAGTAGATGTCATTTGACTAAAGAGAAATAGTGTTTACCTGTGGCATTTCTGTTTCTAGAGCTTAGCATATAACTCTCCAAATTTTAAATATATTTTTAAGAAATACACAAAATCCATTCTCTCTCATGCTCTCTGTAAAGACTTATGTGCTAAGCCTGGGATGAAAATGGTAGCAGCAAATGTGTAAATTTTGATTAATACTAATAGCAAAATATAAGCACTGAAGGCAAAATAGAAGAAAAATATTAGCATATCGAAAACAGTAAGGACAAATAAATAATATTGTTAAAAAATTTTCCTTTAACATATACATTTTCAGTGGTTTCTTTCCTTTAAAAATTAAAGCAAATTGGAAAATAAAACAGTCAATCTTAAAGGACAAAGAAACTCAAGAAAAAATACAATAAAAAGGAAAAAGATCAGGAAAATGTGGAAGAAAATTAATATATTATCTTTTAACATATTTAGTGTTGACATAGATATTTCTGTGAAACAGATAAAGCATTTTAATTCAACAGTGAGTACATTTACTTCAAAACCCTGTATCACATTTTAGTTTAAATAGCAAAGAGAAGTACAAATAGTTAAAAATATAATTTAGCCAAAATTAAACAACTGACCCAAAACCATCTAGTTACCTTTTTTCTCTAACAGTGTAACTCTTAAAGTTTCAATAAGATCAGAGTATCCAAGACTAGCAGCATTACATGACTGAGCACACGGACAAGGGTGAGGAATTAAATTTGTCATCAAAATGGATCTTCATTTAAAAATGAATAAAATTCAAAATCCGAATCAAGATTTGCTGCACATGTAGAATTAAGGTGGAGGAGAATTATTTGCTGTGCTCATATCTTAAAAAACCCTTTATCTACCTTAAGCTATGGTTTTATCAGACATAATAGGCAGGTCACTAAAGTAACATCAGTGATTGGCATTGCCCCAAGGAAAAGGCTCCACAAGTGGGAAGTGTTGAATTTTAGCATATTCTCAACTAGAGGAATCATTCCTGAAACCACAATTGATGCTACTAATTATAAACAGTGCAGAAGCCAGCTCTTTATTTGTTTTATGTGAACGATTTTAAACCAGGTTTGTTGAACAATTCAGTGTAGCTGACAGCAAATGTTTAACAGGAATGCAGAGCAGACCATGTTAAAAATGTGGCATTGTCCCAAAGTACAGTATGACTAAGACACCCTACATTTAGCAGCACCTTTTTGTAACAGTATAACTTAGATGAGCAGTAGAGAAAGAGCATAGGAAAATGAAATGGTTTGACAAAAAAAGGAGAACTGTTCAGAACATTTCCAGCATTTTCTAGGTAGACTACAGAAGTCATGATTCTACAACTAAGATTAAGCTTTTGCTGTGTGAAAAGACTATAATTTTACATTCCACAAGTCAGTAAATGTCCCATTGTCTCTGGGATTATTTCTGCATTTACAAATTAGTACATACTGTTTACAGTTATGCTCACTATACAGTTTTCATGTATAGATGCTCTTATGTCAAATCCTGCAGTATAGTTTTGTGAGGAATACTCTGATTTGGACTAACATATTTCACAATGAAGTTAAAAACTAAGAATCCAGGGATAGAATTTTAAAAATGGAATCCATTACCACAACTTTTTGAAAGCAGCAGGTTAGATACATACCAGTTACACTTCAAGAATTTCAATATGCTAAAGTCATTATTGGGGTGAAATTACGTGTAGCAAAGGATTGAGGCTGGTGATCAGCAGCATCTTACCTTGATGAGAAGTTTATCAACTATTTTATAAAAGTAACCTTAATTGGAATATGGTTTCCCAATGATGTGACTACTTTGCATCAATTTATATATTATATAGACTAGTTTTTGTATTCAATAAATAAATTCAACAGTACAGAGCTAATTAACAAGTACATTGATTCTGAGGGAAATGTTTCATATTAGCTGATAAAACAATATGTAACTTATTTTTAAAACTAAGTTTTCTTTGGGGTAGGGGAAGTAAGGAGTTACATGTGAAACAGTTTTATAAAGGTCAAAAAATATTTGGCAAGAACCTAGAAGAATAAAAGAAGCAAAACAAAAAATAGATTATTTAACAAAATAATAATTCTATAATACACAAATCTGAAGTCAGGCAATTATAGAGAGGCATTCTCCAGGGACAGATTTCAAGTGGTAGGTACTTGTACACCGAATGCTGTCTTACTGGTCTAGTCACAGCTGGACAAAAATGTACTTAGGAGACATGCAGGTTTTAGCCTTAGCATGACAACCACATTGTGAGCTGCTCACGGTGGCATCTTTGAGCATGGAGATAGTATCTTCTGGCTTCCCGTACATAGATGTTTGATGTAGGAAAATGCTCTTACCATTTTGTTCACTTTAAGTCACCCCATTTGCCCTGATTACTTCTGAAGAGCAGAAACTTTGGTTATAAGAAGCACTTCTAGGTTTTGACAGACAGTGAAACTCTTTGAGTTTGTGGTAGGGATGGAATGATAGGTAAACTGGGAGATAACAGAGCAATAAGCAGGGTTAGAAAAGGAAGTGGGAGAAGTTAGAAAAATTTATTTTCCCACGAAATAATTCTACAAGCTGTGTAAACGTTTCTTACTATAACAAATACTCGAACACACAAAGATTGTACATTTCCAGTGAAACACTCACAGTTAAAAGTTGCCTGTATTTTTTGCTCTCTAGGAGCAAAGACAAGGAGCCAACAGAACGCTTTCCCAGTCACCTTTGGCAGCACGCTCCCTGACTGCTCAATGGATCATTAAAGCTACATGCAGCACAATTCAGTTCAAAGCCAGGTGGGTAGGATTCTAAATACCAGTCACTAGTTTCTTTGTTAGTCTTCAGCATTCAGAGTCATCTCTACTGACCACTCACGCACACACTTACACACAGACGCACACACCCGTGCATACAGAGTTCCGGCTTGTAGACTCCAGTGCAGTGACATGAGACACTAGCTACTAAGAATGTGTGTCACAATCAGTGTGAGCTGCATGGATTAGAACAACCTTTGGAGTTTGGTTATATTTACCATAATTTATGGTCAAAATTATAAATTTACAACGATGGTAAAACATTCAGAAATTAAACCTTTTCAAGTCAAGCAATCACACATATTTACAGTATGTACAGACTTTCCTACTAGAATGGGGATAGGTGCCTAGATGACGTTATTACAAATTTCCTGAATGTGGGCATTTCTAGTCCCTGTAATTCATAAAGCAAATCTGCTGACTTGGCATTAAGACTCTAAAATAGTGTGATCAAACTGATATATATATATTATATATATAATTATCATAAGAAGGTGTTTGCAGAAATAACATTTACAAACTGTCTATACAGTACACAGTACTAGTACATAGAAAATAGATTCTAACTTTATGATCCCCTTTGTATAAGGCAAGACTGAATCTGTCCCCAAATTTAGTCAGCCAGAGGTACAAGCAAGAAACAGTGGTCCATGGATGAATGACTATGCAAATCAGGTGCCTACATATTAAAAATCTGGAGAATCAAGAAATTCCACTTTTTATCTGGGCTGATTCTGGCTTGCTGGATATGTCAACTACAGTTTTGAAAAGGTCAGCTACATTTCTTAAAATACTAATGCCACCTGAATGGCAACAGAATTTGTTCAAGTGGCAGCTACCCCAAACAGTTTTTGAAAAGTCCAGTACACAACCAGAGGACTGCAGCCATACCAGGCAAATTTATATAGCACTTACAAAAGGAAAAAATGTATATTAATACTCTGTCATGCTATTGCTATTTAAGCAACAGCAATACAAAATATACAAGACAGATCACATATGATTGCAATGTCAACCCCAAAGATTTAGATTGAGGGTGCTGTTATACAAGACTTAAAAAAATCCCAAAACACAGAAGGGCCAAAGTTATTGGCGGATGTAAACATCCCTGTTCCACTCCCCAGCCTCATTCCTTTTTTTGGATATTCC